TCATCGAATGATTCTTTTCTCTTCTTCGTGTTTCTCTCTGTCCGTCTCTTTCTCTCCCTGTTCTCTCTTGACCGATGCGCTCAAAAGAAAAGAGAACCGAGGGAACGGATATAAAAGGAAATGTTTGGTTGAAATAAAATCAGTCGAATCACCTTGAATAAAGTTTGTCGTTACAATAAGTTTGTAAAAAGATGTAAAATAATGTGGTTGGTAAGACGACAAAAAAGAAAAGAAAAGAAAAGAAAAAAAAGAGAGAAGAAGTGGGTAGTCACAGTTATCTCTATGACTGGGTTTTTTCACAGTATGAAGTTCTTTATAAATATTGATGAAATAATTTTTTATTATAAATCAAAGTAACACTAACTTTATATCACGAGCGACAAAGTGAGCTTTATCGGTTTTTTTGAAAGAAAACATAGCATAAATGTTTAATAGTCTGATATATTCATATATTTTTAGCATTGGTTTTTTTCTAAATAATTTCTAAACAAAATGGATACATTTACAAATGCATATGATGAAAAAATTCGTCCTCTTATGGATAAAATAGATCAAGCTCGATCATTATTATCATCAGGTATTGATGGTGTTACATTTCCAACTGTTGTTGTAGTTGGCGATCAATCAAGTGGTAAATCAACATTATTAGAATCATTATCATTAGTAGAACTTCCAAAAGGTTCAGGTATTGTTACTCGATGTCCACTTGTTTTAAGATTACGTAAATCTAATCAACGACGTGTATATCGTTTAAATAATGATAATCAAAAAAGTTTATTAGATGAAGCGAAACTAAATATATTGAAATATATTGAAGATGAAACAAAGATATTAGCTGGTGATCATAAGAATGTTGTTCATGATTTAATTGAATTATTAGTTGAAGATCCTAATGTACGAGATTTGACTGTAGTAGATTTGCCAGGTATAGCACGTAATCCAATAGCTAATCAGCCAGAAGATATTCATAAACAAACAACAAATTTAATTCGTAAGTTTATTAAGCGAGAAGGTAGTGTTATTTTATGTGTTTTTCCTGCGAATGTTGATGTTGCAACCGTCGAATCATTTACATTAGCTCGTGAATTTGATCCATCAGGAATTCGAACAATTGGAGTTATAACAAAGTCGGATCTTGCTACAAATAATGATACAATAATACAACAATTATTAATGGAAAAACCTGATGTTCTTAAGTTAAAATTAGGTTTTATTGCTGTACGTAATCGTAGTACAGATGAAAAAATTTCTCTTGATGAGTCACGACAACGTGAAAAAGAATTTTTTCGCGAACATTTTGCTTCGTCTGGAGTTGGATCGCATTGTCTGGGTATCGATGCACTCATCGATCGTCTAGCTGATTTATATTCTGATCGAATAAATGAAACATTTCCAAAAATAAGATCAGAAATACAACGAAAACTTAAAGAAGTTCATGATCAACTATCAAAACTTCCACCAAATTTAGAAACCCCATCAGCACGTTTGGCAAAATATTATGAATTAGCTGATTTTTATGTCGAAAATGTTCTCAAAATACGTTTATCAAGTACAAATGATGGTGAACAGAATAGTATGATAAATAGTCTACATATTAAATTTCAAAAATTTCAACGAATCATTGATAAATATACGCGAGAACTATTTACAGCTAAATACCATACGAAAGTAAAAAACGCTATGGCAGCTTGTTTTGGTGAGCAACTCCCAAATTTTCTCCCACATCCAGTATTAAAAAATTTAATATGTGCAACACTTGATCAACTCTGGTGCGCTACAAAAAGTCTAATTAAGGATTGTTTTAATGAAATATCAAAAGTACTATTAGACAATGATGATCGCGTATGCAAAAATGATATTCTATTAACAAAATTATTACCTGTATTCCGTAAGAATGTCACTTCATATTTAAATAAGAAAAAACAAGCAGTACATGATCAATTAGAAGGATTAATTCGTTTAGAAAAACAAGAACCATATACTACAAATCATTATTATATGGATAAAATTAATGAATTCAAAGATGTTTTTACGAAATCTAAAGGAAAAAATGCGACAGGAAATCAAGTAACCACATCGATGTCAGATGAAATGGATAAATTAATGTTTAATTCAATTTCTAATGATGATCAAGCAGTACGAGAAATGTTAATTAGTATATTTTCCTATTGGAAAGTATTGACAAAACGATTTATTGATTATGCATCATTATCATTACGAGAAGGATGTGTTTTTGATGTATGTTCTGGTATTCGACATCGATTGAGACATGTTCCTATTCAACAATGTGATTTCATCGATTCATATCTTCTGGAAGATGCATTTATTCGCAATCAAAGAAAACAATTACAACAAACAAAAGAAAGATTAGAAAAAGTTCATGCAATACTTGATGGTCACAACATATTAAGTGATTCTAATGACACATATACAAATGTAATAGAAAACGATGACAATACATTATTAACAATTGATGAATTAGAACAGAATCTTACTGGAAATAATGATAGTGAGAATGAAGATTTTGAAGACGGACTTTTGGATGAATAACATTATATTCCTTCGACTGAAAGGAGGGTCATGTCGAAAAAAAAGTGGTCAAAAAACGGAAATTCGTTTGTGTGTGTGTGTCTGTCGCAGGTCAAAGGTCAAAGGTCAAAAAAACATTTTTTCCAAAACGCTCAAAACTTCATAAAACATGGTTTGGGAGGGTGGTTGAGGGGATATGGTGAACTAATCTCGAAAAAGAAATCTCGAATTCTCTTNNGTCAATCAGTAGCGATGCTGGCTTTGAAAAGATTGAGATCAATCTCGATGGTGGATCAGAGTGAAAGGAAGGGTGAATGAGAAGATATAATTTACAGGTTGACGTGTCAAAGTGGCAATGAAGCCTATAAATGAGCGACTGGAATGGAGAATAAATATCAGAGTAAAAAAATTAATCAAACTGCTATTGCAGAAACCAGATTCAGCAACGTCTTTGCGTACAAAACTGCAACCGAAGCAACCGTGTTGTACAATGAAAAATCGGAAAGATAAGGAGCGCAAGTGTAGAAATTTTGAGCATGTTGCTTTTCCTACCCAGTACACTTTCTCCGTATGCCATATGTTAGCCATAGATATTTCGTATTTGTCATCGGATACCCATGCTAATGGCATATAATGAAAACGCCTAAATACCTGCACCAGAACTGCTGCTCCAAAAAAAATCTCAGTTATCGCTTAGAGAACTCTTTAAGATCATTCCGTATCACACGCGCAGGTCTCCGCAGTTCCAACCGTTCAACAGTCAAAACGAGTAATATCTGTATATTCAAGAAAAACTCTGTCCTATACAACCACTGCCTACTATGCTGGGCACCATCTCACACAAATGCATGAGAAATAGCGCAGATCTTGATTCGCATGGAACCAAACGCTCACTCATCGCTTCTACCACACCACCTGAGACAAAGACTACTGCATCCAAAAAATATCCTCAAGATAATTGGGAAAAACCAAAACTTCTTCGAATGTCAAAGTGAATGCAATCCGACAACACACCAGCGGATTCCTACATATACGCCATCAAAATTAAACCTTCATTCCTATCCACAGAGTAAAAACACCGATCCTCCCAGTTCCCCGCTACCCGATTCCATCAGCACAGCAAATTCTTATTCAACGTTGAAATGAAGCTTCTTTCACTTCACAAACCATGTAATAGCCAAAATCATGACGCTCTATATCCAATCTACATTCCCCTTACTTGTAAAAACCTTCTACTTCAATCCTTCCAATAAATAACAAAATTCGATTTCACCATCAAATTCTCACCTACCCTGCACATACACCGATGTCGACCAAATCAATCAACATACCCGTGAGCCTTTCACTGTCCGACAACATAATTTCTGAGCATCACATCTCCTTTGTCAACGCGAAAAACGATTTCTATTCCAAAAAAAAATTTCGAAACGATATCTCCGATCGTCACGAACTTCGGATCCGAAATCGAAATTTTCATTTCCTGTTCAGCCATACACATTCGCATTGTATGCACGAACATGGAGGAGAACATTCCTTCATGTGAGGATATCTGTGTATAGGTGAAAGTGGTGAATGGAATTTTGAATTCATTGCTCTGTGTGATGGTATAATTTTGGATGGAGCATTTTAGGATTTAGTAATAGGTAGCATATTTGAAAATAGCATTGTTGGCATTCGCTACATTTTATGTATTTTTTGATTTGGTTCGATCTGTAGATACACTGTTGTTTGATTAGTTGGTTTTGGAACGTAAGTTAGATGAAGGTAGATGATTAGTTGGAATGAATATATTTGTGAAGGTGAACATGCAACGTGTAATAATGGTCTGTCTGCTCGTGTCGGTATGGGATGGAAGCACATGATCTGTGCACGCATCATAGTTTGTTATCACGATTGTGTAAGAGATTATGCGGGCATATGTGCTTTCACTTGGACGTGTTGAAATTGTTTTCATTCATTTACTATTTCGGTTTGGTGAGGACGTGATTAGAAAG